AGGGGGCGAAGAGGTCGAGCGATGGGGCGTGACTGCAATGGAGATTGACGTGGCCGATCGCGATGTGGATGTGCGTCAACACATCAGCCACCCCTTGACCCGCTGGCCACGGGGTATGCAGTTGCTATTCGAAAGAACATGTGCCACGGATGACTGAGGAATGCGGGAGATGCAGTCCAGACTCCACGAGCTAGAAACAAGTATTTTGTCGCGGTCAGTCAGCCTCCTCGTGTCAATACGTCGGCTAGTCTGGATCGTCAAAGTCTATATTCCTTGGAGCTGACCCGGAAGTTTCGTCCGTTCTTCGTTCGGGCCCATCCCGACGTCCTCTGTTCAAATACCGTGTTTTCGGAAGCAAATAAGCGGCGAGCTTGCGACTGTACAGAGTACGAATCATTCTTACACCTTCAGTACGTATCCGTAGTCCAGTGTGATAGGAAGGTCGGATTTGTGAGTCGACCGAATTGCCGTCAACTGAGTCATTGCACAGCAAGCCCAGCGGGAAAAAAGAAAACATGGATGCGGGTTGACTACTTTCCCATCCTTCGCTTTCGCGCCGGCACGCTGGTTCGCCTGAACGGTTCGTCCCACCGCCCGCTGCCGTCCGCATCCGTCTGGTCTACCTCTGTGGGGAGAGCTGTCTAGAAAGAGAGAGAGAGAGAGAGAGAGAGAGAGAGTGTGTGTGTGTGTGTGTGTTGTGTGTGTGTGTGTTGTGTGTGTGTGTCTGTGACTGTGATCATTAATGACACCGCCCGGCGGGAATATTGCCCAAGATGTGCCATTCTGCCGGCAGGATACATCATTCACACACCCTTGACAGGCCGCTGAAACGCTGTCCTCGTACAGAACCTGCGAGAGAGGCGGACCTCTCCGATGTGTGTCTCGCCGCGATCTCCGTTGATTGGCGAACTTGGTTATGCACGAATATCCATCGGGATCATCTCAACCGATGCTTCATAATTGATTGGTTTTGGCCGGGTACATTACACCGAGATCGTCGTTTCGATCCTGTCGGTACCTAGGCGATGCAGACTGCAGCTTGCTGAAGAATGACAGGGGCTCAAGGGGTGGGTAAGGTGGGAGTACGAATCCTACCGTCTTCTGGCCTGGACTTTGAGTCCTTGACCGGCGATGCATCAACGAGACCTCGCTAGAATTTTAGCATGCCATCATATATCACTCTCGGGTTCGCGGTATAGTCGAGGGTGGGCTCAAGGTCGCCCCGAAGGACATGTTTCCCGTTCGAGGCCGTTGAAGGATGCAGCCGCCCGGCACGTCACAACTTCTCGGGATACTCTGAGTCTCCTCGGCCCAGTTCTTGTGTGATCGAAGCGTTCGCCCACCATTGCCTTTGTAATCCACGGCAGTCGAACGGCACTCGACTCCCTCTCGCCAGATCTCTCCACCGTATCCCTTGGCCGAAGGATCGACCCACGCTGCCGTCCGTTCGGGTCGCTGCTCCATTCGAGGCAGATGCAGCAATAATAGGCGATATCTACACCACACTAGAACAAGTCCACAACATGCGGACAATACGCCTCCGCTTGCTAAGACTTAGGTGTAGCTCAAAGTCACTGAAGATCTCTCAACTCCACATCTAGATAGATGGGGGCCTGAAGCTTGAAACTAGAGCAGTGATGCCCAACGTCTTTGGGCTGAAGGGGAGACGCGAATCAAAAAGCTGGGGACGGCGAGATTGACAGACCCATCATTGAGGCGAAATAACTGTGGCTGATGGCGATAGCAATACGGAGTCTCTAGAACCATGGGCAAACGAAGGAAGTCTCCTGTCTTGTGGAGGCTATGCTGTTTGACATGTTCCATCTCTGTCTGAAGATCGGGGAGTTTGGGCCGGGCAGCTCTCCCAGTCCAAAATCTTGAATGTGCATGCGATATAACTTGAACTGTGTATCTTTGTGCTTATGCTGCACCATGCATCCAACATCATTCGCGATAAAACGAAGGGGGGGGGAGTGGAGGTTCAACCCCTCATCAGCCTGATAGGTGAGTATTGTTGGAAAGATTGGGTTGCGATGTCTCCGGGCCGATGCCTAAGCTGCCGTTTTCGGATTCATCGTGACTCGTACCAAGTCTTGGCCGATCACGAATTGATTACAGATCGAGACACCGGAAAACTAAGTTGGCTTCACTCGGTCTCGTGTGTGTTGTGTGATCCGGATCGTGAGTTTGGCCTTACGAAAAGGGGCTCCCGGTGCGCTCGCCGAACCGGCGAGGACGCCGACATGAACCAAACGAGATGAATATCACAAGACCTGTCCCAACTGAACATGGAACCTAAAGTCCGGAATACCCAATTTGTTAATACGATGGTGTCCGATGGAATCAACCACTGTAACCCTCCCGTCGGAAGCAAATATCGGCAGTATTCTAAGCCTCAATCCCCGGCTTCAACTTTGGCGGACTTTCAGTTATTTTCAACTCCCGGTTGGTATTTCCTATTCCCCGCCGTGTCTTCTGAGCAGCAGTTCGTTTCCAGTGAGACATAGAACACGCATTATTGATTTGTTGACCGGCATAGGTACACTACCTAATTAGTGACACTTATTGCATCGTTTGCATGTCACTGGGTCAGATGAACAATCACCGTTCGGGAGCATCTGGTCACTCAGATTCCTCGATCACTTCCGCTGCTTGAGATCGAAACTTCCGTACATGGTATTGCTTACCTCGTCGCGAATGCTCTCAACATACCTTCACTTCCCTAGGGAACTTAGCGATATCTTCATCATCGACAAATAAATCTCTCCTTGATGATGGATCAACAAAATCTCACAGATGAATCTCTAACATCGATCAGCCGTATTTTCACAGAATTCTCAGAGTCTAGCTCAATTGTAGTTCGACTTGCGTCTCTGCTAGCTGTCAAGAAAACCCAGGGACTACCTTCTTCGCCGGCCGGGATTATATCTGAATTCGTGTGCTTGCACCCAGTTGCCGTTGGAAGCTAAGTATTAATTACTCATTCACGCTGATGAGGGAGATTTTTCTATCGAAAAACGTCAAAGGCACTTTTTTGGCGCCAACTTCAAGTCCATGACTATCAGCATGCCCGGGTTTAAAAGGTGACTCAGGAGCAAGCCCTGCCTTCGGAGGCTTATAGACGCACTGGGACCACCTCCACGGTCACCTATGAGAGAATTCTTCACGGTGGCTATGAGAATGTGTACGACTTCTCTGTTTCTGCGTTCCAAGCTGCTGGCGTTTAGTTGCCACTGTAAGGGTGCCGATTCTGCCGAACTCATACAGGCTGTACCGATACATTGGGAACAATTAAAGCGGATTTTTGATCTTCTGAAAGAGGCACTGCAAAGATGTTTTGGTATACTAAATTGAGGGAACGAACGAATCCCGGCTTTACGCAAATGATGTACCGTTCAGTATTTTGATCAGGATGAGGATAGAGGAGACACCTATCAAGACCGCGCTGAGGTCGAAGTTCAGTGGCAAACTTACCTAGTAGACTTTACATGAGGTTATGGGTACTAGGTAGCCTGAGTGATTCCAAGAGCTCCGAGCCTACTACCCGGATGTTATCCACGCCATCGAGTCTACAGTGGGTAGTCACGGTGTAGGTGGTTGGTGCATGTAATTTTCTCTCTAGTGTTGACATTTACTTTGGTGCACGTTGGAACTAGACGTGTCGAGATAGAAAGTTGAGCGATCAGCTTTTCAGCGTCAAGGGAGAAAGATATCCGGCCGTAGCCATTGCATGTTTAGTGATACAACAAGCCAGGGAAGAGAAGGAGAGCAATTAAATACATGCAAGCTGAGACTTTCAGATGGCGATACGACAATCAGCTACAGATTTGACCACGTACTGATAAACTTGAGCTTTCTTCTCAGGAGCAGGCGTGAGCGAGGACGGTCATGTCGGCAGCTATTCCCCGACCTAGACGGTCCCGTTCAGCTTTGCTCAATCTTCAGGCGACTAAAAAGACAAGGACTTGGAATGGCAATAAGAACCATCACAAACATCGCTGTATGAACAAGATCTGAACCTCCAGGTATCGAGACATACCCATGGTACCTACATCTAGGTGCTAAGGCGCCACTGGCCTTTTAGTTTAGAAAATGGTCTGGTATCAACAGGTTAGTTTGGCCAGGTCCTAATGAAAACATCTGGAATCCATTAGAAAGCCAATTGCAGCTACACAGAGTTGTTGAGACTCGCAACTTGTGGCGGAATTGATGAGACTCATCATAATCGTTACCGGACGAGAATCGGAATCGGCATCACCGTCCGGAAGGCCGGCGCCGATAATTAATGGGCCTCCGGTGTCGGCGCGGGGCGAGCTCTCGCCGGAAACCTTTGGCCCGCCCGGTGAGCCCTGCTTTTGGTTATTACTAAGTCATTTGTCTTGCCTGGACCACCACTCGAGCACTTTCATTTCAAACCTTTAGGCCCTGATCTCCTCGCGTCCAAAGCTAATTGCCAGTTGCCATTGCTGATGTAATCGGTGCATAAAAACAACGGAAAACCCTTTTCCGTGATGCCAAACCTCTTTTGGCTGTAGTTTGGCTGCCGGATCCGGTCTCTCATCTACGCCAAAGTTATGCAATGTTCTTATCTGAATCAGTGGCTGAGACAGGCCGGAGATGGTATAGTTGTTGCCAAAAGGGCTGATTCCATGCTCAGAACTGGTTTTCTGAGAAGCTGTGCCTGTTGCCAGTTCTGTTGCCAGAACCCTTCCCGCCGCTGGAAACACACGTATTATGCCCCCCCCCGAGGCTCAACGGCGCCCCGGCAGTGGCCCGGTGCTACGGCCCAATACGGCGGTACAATTGCTCTGCGGGGCCGTGGCACTTCCAGTGGCGCTGTACCCTCTGGCGACTGGCAATTGGCCTTGGCCGCGAGAAAATCAGGGCCTAATTATCATTCGTTACCAACGAAGCGGACTTCCTCCTTTCTCAAGACAATCGATAGACACTGTCCTGGCTGACCAACGCTCACTGCGATCACTCTCCGAGGACTATCTATGATGGAATAGTACGTAGATCCTCGTGATCTTACATCATTCTCTCTTCCGGGGGATGGTAAAGGTCTGTAAGGCGATACTAGCTTGCAACCAGTCTCTGACGAAAGTGAAATCTTCCCTCCTCCTCAGACCAAACAGTCTTCAACAGGTTCCGGCATGAACCCTCCTAACCGCACAGACACAGCTGGTACCCAGACCAAACCCGATGGCAGGTTTTCTCATGCAGCAGTCGAGCAACCGAGGGCGTGGTATGACAGCCATTCCGACCACCCATACCCTAGCACTGAAGACGTGCATCACATCGGTAATCACACAGGTCTCAGCAGGCAGCAGATACGAGATTGGTTTGCCAACTCAAGACGCCGCGCCAAGATTCGTCCCGGTACCATTGCCGGAAGATCAAGCACTGATGTCGATCCTGCGTTGCCGCGGAACATCCCCCAACGGCGTCCTACACCTACTCCGCATCAACATCTAAACCCCCTTCAGCGGTGGGAGCATTCTCCTCCAAGTGATGAGGCAGCGTCCCTGTCTGACATTTCCAACGCAATTGCTCTCTCTGGTAGACCTACCGACCATTCGACGAACCCTGAGGTATATTCCGACCGACTTCGGACCCCAAGCAGCGTTGTCACCTCACAGTCCAGCGCCGGATCAGGCTCCTGCTCTTCAGCACACTCGCAAGGATCTCAAAATTCGTTTGGATCTCGCGAGAGAACGAGAAAGGCTGCAGCAAAAAGAAGGCGACCAGCTCGCTATTTGTCTAGCAAGGAACAGAGCCACACCTACCAATGCACCTTTTGTTCCAAGAGCTTCAAGAGCAAGTACGATTGGCAACGTCATGAGAAGTCGGTTCATCTACCTTTCGAGCAGTGGGTATGCACACCACAAGGACCTAGAACCGATCATCCTCGCAAAGGCTTTGTTGGATTCACAGGTGGAAAAGGAAAATACTCGAGTATCGTGGGTAGCAACGATCACCGACTGTAGTGGTGATATTGCTTGTTCTTGTTGTTCTTGAGTGGAAGTCTAACCAGGTGCCAGCGGCGGCAGGAAGTCTGGGGTATACCACCCTCGTGTGGCTGAGCCACACGGACCACCGTGGCTGGAACGGACCGCGGCAGCAACCTCCTGCTGCCTAATGTAGGCCTATTCCAACAAATACCCTACGAAAAGAGGACTGCTGTGCCCTTCCCAGAAGCGGGACGCCTAGCAGGAGCCCGACCCAATGCGCACCAACTTGTCAAAGAGAAGATTGCTCTCTACATTCAAAACCACTTTGATAAAGAAGGAGATTTCCCCTGCGATCAAGACTTCTGCCGGCTAGGTCAATCTGTGATCCAGGCTGCAGAAAGGATTTGGGGAACATCACCGAGTGCCCCCTCATCTTGGCTTCGGGATATTCTCATCCCCGCCAACTTGGTTGAGCTTGATGGAGAGGTCGACATCGGAAACCCGCATCACATTCAGTCGCCTCTATCTTTGGATTCAGGAGAAGGCATCTTCGAGAACTGCCCTTCAGAGGACCAGCTTTGAAGATTCGTCAGAATGCATCACACACTCGGCCGCGAATGTCCAGATCACAACATTCAAAGCGAGGCCTGTCGTATTCTCAACTAAATTGAAGGCACTTCGCTCTTTACATCTAGGCATGTGCTGGGCTTCCTGACACGTCTTATTTGGGAATCTGCTGAATGGATCTACCCACTGCGGAGGCGTGCGAAGAAGGACTTGCTCGATATCCATACCTAAGAGATCTCTAACGGGCAAGATGTAGTGCGCTTAGACGAAGGTCTCACTGAAATGGGCGCGCAATGGTTCACACCTCAGGGGAGTAGCTTATCGACCGGATCTTCCTCCCCAGCTCCCGCGGGCATCTCCATGGAGCCGGCCGAATGTCGAATCTGGAAACCTCAAGTTGCGGGTGACCTTGATTTTACCAATTCTCCGGCTTCCCACCCTCATCCAAACTCGTCTTCGGCGCCGAAACCTCCCAACGTTACCGACTTGCACCCCGAGTATAGTCGTGCATTCGGTGTCGATGTGAGCGTAAACTGGTGGACTTCGCTGCGGATGCCGTCAGATCATTTCATTCATTCTGGCTTTACGCTCGTCGGGAGAAATAACCTCGTGCGCGCCTCGTCAGCTAAGGACTCTTACAGCGACAGCGCTTATCAACGACTAGCAAGAGAACTTGCTCTTTACGTGATGAAGACAACATCACCTAATAATCCCCAACGACATGTGCCGACAGATGATGACCTCAGGTATCAGGGAAGATGGATCCTGTTCGACGAGTTGAGTGTAGTCCGAACCTAAAGACCGTCAGTATCATCATTGCTAACAGCGTGTATCTTAGCGACGACCCACTGAATGAGACTCCGGCGGATAATGCATTGTGGCTTGAGGAGTTCAAGCGTGATGTTGGTCTTTCTTTCGCTCCGACGCAGGCAGGCGATGTGATTTAAAAGGCACAGTGTTGTCCAGAGTCTCCTACCTTATGGCACGAATACACATCACAATGTAGCTAGGCGCTTTTTCATGGCTACTTAAGAAGATCCTTCCCATACAATCAGTTCCGCATCCATCGGTTGCGTGAACACGGATCCCGTGCGATCTTGCAATCAGAATAGGGAATGTACGATTGTTCCAACTTATGGACTTCGGTCCACTAGCGAAAAGGAGGTTTCATCATAATCCAAGTTGTGTACATCTATACATTAGGCGGGGAATTGTAGATTGATGAGTGTTGGACTTTTCTGCGATAATCGTCCTCAAAGGTCAGGTTGCGGAACCGCCAATCACACTACGTCTGCCCGAGCTTTCATTTTCTGAGCTGAAATCTCTGCCAAAATACGATAATCCCCAGCTCACATTGATATTGGAGAGTGAGAAACCGATCCATCTGTCCTACGTTGTGGCCGACGTTAGCCGGCTCCGATGAATGGCTGGAGGTCAAAGGGCGCGGGATTGACGAGCGTATAAACCGTAGTGTAATCGACCCTTGACATGTAAGTCAGTAAACGGAGACCTGATTGGGTGATGGGCTTTGTGCGGAGCTTGTAGGGTGCTTGTAGGGCGCGAATTGCCAGGATCTGGTCTTGGCTCTTTGTGCAGATCCAGGTAGGGACCAAGAGGCTATTCGACGAAAACAGCACTGATACGGCAGTTTGTTCTTCCAAAGACACGCTGGTCTAGCCTTTATCTTACTTTCGCGTATTTGGGGGACACCGGCCCAGGCCTGGCTCTATCTAAGGTATCCATGTCATTTTTAGTACATCATCCGAAGAAAGACCCCCTCAAACGACAACCTACGACAAGGCGAAAAGGCAAGTTCATGATCTAGATATCTCAAATTTTCAAATTATCGTTCAGTGGTGTGTAAAATTTACTTCAAGTTTAATGATTATTAGGAGTTTGTCTGTGAACATCGAGAATATAATTCTGCTAGGAGTAGTTACCTATAACTATACAATCTTACCATGTGAGAACCAAGATGGCCGCTCGAAAATGACACGGCCCTTGACTTAATGGTCTCTGGTAGGAAGCATTGTAGCTCCGGCAAATGACGACATTTTCGTGCTTTTAAATATAAATCGACAGGTTTTCAAGGCGGACTGGAACGCTTGGCTTCTGCTTTAGCCTTTGCCAGCCAAGAATCATGCATAACCCCCGGTGGCGACAAGTTGCACTATCATTTCCTAAAATGTTTCTGTAGGAAGGTTACCCACGCCTGGCTAGTGTCCAGGAAACGGCCCAGCAACAAGTTACACGTGTTGCGGGCTAGGATTCCGTCACCATTCAACAGAGCGGGAGAACGTTGACTCATTCTGTAAACGCAAATGATCCCGTGATGATCATCACCTTAAGAGAGAAGACTATCTTATCTATTCAATTATCCAGGGCCTGATAGAAGTTCCGTGGCATCCTACAGCGGGCAAGGCTTACGGTGACTTGGAGGAGGAAACTGGGTTGGTTATAATGATATCGATGCCTCCTATATATCCTCTGCAAAGTGGAATTGCCACAGCATTTCTAGTCTCCTTATCTGTAGCCAACTCCACTTACAAGCTATATGGGGCTACTGAGCAAATACATAGGCCGTTTGCTTGTGCTCCTCGGTGCCTACACTGGCTCTACTATCTTCACAATGGCCTGCGCCTTGAGCCCGACGTATACAGCACTGCTCATTTATCGCCTGTTGGCGGGTATCTGCAGTGCTTTCTCCAATGGAGTTGTGCCTGGAGTCTACGCCGACATTTACGAGGTACTATTACGCGAGGACGTGCGATGGCATGTTACATGGCCGCTACAACCATTGTGTCTCATATAGGACCTGCCATCTCCGGGTTCGCGTCGGTGGTTGACTGGCGCGTGACGTTTTGGATCGGCTTCTTCCTCTTTGGTGCCGGACTTCCTGCTCTGTTCTTTTTCCCCGAAACACACCTGCCGATGCTGAAGAAGAGCGTCGGACGGCAGCTGGTCGGTACCTCCACGATGGTTGAAGAAACGATTCACGGGGCTCCCCTGACTAAGATCGGAACCGTCGGTGGCGAGACGCAAGTCATTTTCTCTAGGCCCTTCTCAATGCTTGTGCATAAACCCGTCGTTATGTTCACGTCGCTTTATGTGGCAATGATATCCTCCGTCTTATAACCCTTCTTCCAGGCGTATTCGATCATCTTCCAGGGTCCATTGCTCTTCTCAACATTTAGGTCTCACAACCAGCTGACGGTTTCTTCAGGTATCTATGGTCTATCCCCTGGTCCGGCTGGCCTGGCGTTCTTACCAGGTACGACAATGCTTCCAAACCCAATCTGTATAACTATGCGAGATCCAAGTTCGCGACTTTTGAGTTCGGATGTTAATCCAAAGTTGCATTTGGTTCTCTGATCGCCTTATGGATTTACCTTGCATACAGCTCATACCACACCGGAGCTGTAAAAGCAGGAGCTGGATGGGCCTCAAAAGAGGAAAATCGAAGACTGCCTTTGGCTCGTCTAGGAGGACCTGGGTACGTTCAAGACGTCACTTCAGCCATCCGTTGAGCTCTATGGAAGTGCGCTAACCCTTCGACTATAGAATCCCTCTGGCCCTCTTCTGGCTGGGCTGGACATCGGATAGACATGTCAGTCCGGTTGTGCCCATGATGTCGGGAATCCTGTTCGGTGCCAGCTATCTGCTCGTGTTGATGTCGATGCTGAATTACCTAAGCGATGCGTACAAGGGGCTCTCGGCATCAGCCCAATCCGCTGCCAGCACAACACGATCGATATGCGCCGTGTGTCTGCCGCTTGCAACGAAGCCGATGTATGGCGCCCTTGGCTTGCCTTGGACATCTTCAATGCTTGGCTTTATAGCATTGGCCATGACCTTCATCCCTTTCGTGTTCCTCAGGTATGGGCACAAACTGCGGAGCCAGAGTCCGTTGTGTCTGGATCTGAAGGACTGAAGAGGTTATACGGATAACCAAGAGCGAATGATCTAAGGTACGCTTTGAACGCACTGCTGGAGATCCTTTCTCACTGCGGTCAGGAGCTTACGGGGCCGTTAGAAAGAACACTTGATATTGATCGATGAGAGGGTGCTTGCACCACGTCAATACGAATCCGAGATTAATACGCAAATATGTTTCATGTATACCTTATATCTGTACTATCATGACGTTCACTACGCGGCTGTAGCCTCTGCTAGGTACCACTCATAATCTAAATTCCAGGCAGCAGTAATTGATTGATTGGTAAAGTTGGTGGTGATTTAGTGCTGTTCTACGTTGATCTGACGGCGTCATTGTTGGATAGAAGCAAGTGATACTCGTATTCAATTGCTACTCGAGGGTCTCTCATGTTGAAGCGTGGAATGAGTGGCATAGGAATTACTTAAAACCCTTTGATACAACCTTGGTTTCTGTCTCTTCAGCTTCAGTCACTCCTGGATTGGCGACTTTTTCTTTGCTATCACAGAATACAAGATGGCCCTTTATACCATGGCTCTCACCACCCTGCTGCTCCGCCCAGTACTTGGGCACACCCTGAGCCTCATGCCCTCTTTCAGCAACTACACGGTCCCCGTCGAGCACATCTCCTTGCCCGGTAATCTTGACGGCGCAAAGGCTAACTCCTCGGTGAACGCCTCGACTTCTGACTTTTGGTACTTTGACACGCAGCCTGGAGGTGGTCCTCTTCAACTTTCCGGACCTAGGAACCTCTCAGCCTTTGGTGGTGCAAGTCACCGGAGCGTTCTCCAACGGCACCAGGTTCCACAGCTACCGATGGCGCCACCATCACCAACGACGAGAATGGCGTTCGTGGGGAGTGGAAAGGTGTTGACGCCACGTTTCTAGGCACACCGCTGGACAAGCCCAATGTAACTTACACCATCACGATTGACTCTGATGAGATTGGTGTAAATGGCACTCTGGTTTCCGATCTGTAAGTTTATTGCGTGGTCTTTCCTTGAATCTAGAGCATCCCTCCAAGAAAGCACTGCCAAACATACGCCTCAACATGTTGCTGATCAAAGACAGCGCGCACCCGCCCACTATCCATGTGCTTTAAACGAACCCGGTGTCAGCGAAGAACTCGTGCCTTATCTCTACTGGGCCAACGCTGTTCCCGATGCCGACGCAGATGTTGACATCACTATTGATGGCGAGCGCATCAGCTTCGTCAACGGCGTCGGATACCACGACAAGAATTGGGCCGATAAGTCCATCATCAAATCGCACAAGTTCTGGGACTGGGGCCACGCACAATTCGGCCCC